GGATAATGTATAGAAGATGAAATTCCTTTTTATTATGTTGGAAATGATTGTTCAAGAAGAGTTACCTTAAACTGCCAGGCTACGTCCTGATAATATATAGAAGATGATCTTTTTTCTTTTGAAATGTAAACATCTAGACAAGAATTCATTTCATTATAATTTAATTGGAATCCAACAAACGAACGAAAAAAATTTGAAGAATTTAGGGAATTCAAATATCGTTGGCATTTTGGTTGAGTAGTTTTTTTTCTGTTTTTTTTTTTATCATGCACTGAGAAAAGCTTTTTAAAATACTGTACTAGTTACTTGCCTGTAGTTATTTTGTTGAATAATTTTGAAGTACCATGAGAAGAAGTCGTTAGCTTTTTTAAGTAAATTTGAGTACAAACAGCAATTAAATTAGTTTACCTGTGTCTAGAGCTCAATAACTTGAGACTCATTTTATTGAAATTTTATTTTTGTTATCTAAACAGAACCAATATCGAGATTTGTCGAAACAGTGCAAGAAGTATGCTTCTGATCTGCTTGAGATGTGCCAGAGTACAGAAGACGTCGAAACGCTATTGAAGATGGATGGTACAACTCTTGAAAACGTTACAGACGACAACGAGTCGAAAGAAACTGGAACGTTAGATCTTGGAAGAGTAAAGCAAGCCATAATTTACCAGCAGAAAGCCGTAAGCAAATTACACAACGAAATCAGACATCTGAGTAGCGTTGTAGTTTAGTAGTTAATATTCTTGTCTCTAGATTCAAGGGTCGTGACATTAATTTTGTAAAAAGACGTGTTCAAAATTCAAAAATATTCAAATCAAACATTTTATTGCCTTTCTTTTAAAAAAGTACAATGTGAATACTGTACAAATAAATGAAACAGCAATTATCATAACACTGAGTAAGAAAAGGTCTCAATTACAAAGCTTTATAAACTTTTTTGACATCATAGTATGGTAAATGAACAGAACCAGAAACACAAAATCTTTGTTCAGTGCGAACACAATGGCTCCCATGAGCGCGGTTTTTTTTTTTTTATATCTCATGAAGCAAGATGATTCATCAATTTTTAATGAAACAAAAAGATACCGTAGTAAATCCAAAATTATCAAAATGTATCTGTTTTCGGATTGCTGTTTTATTTTTTGTTACAAATCTTGTATCTTGTATTTGTATTTTATTCAAATATCCAACAATGTAAACACCAATTATAAAATGTGTATAATATAAAAATATGATAAAGATAAAAAGCAAAACATAACACAATAATAATTAAAAAGCCAAAAAATTAACTTCCAAAAATAAATAATATGTAAACATAAATCATTTTAACTATTATTACTGATTATTGTGGAATATATTTTTCAATTCGTTGCAACGATGAACTTTAATGGGCTATTTCCATCGGATAGGCCTACTAGTTATACTGTAACAGTTAGTCTGTCTGTCTTCGACTATTTAAAGACCTATTTCCACTGGATGAATTACGTACGAACATATTTATTTTTTTTTCTTCTTTACTTTCGCTATAGTTTGTGGCCCATCCGCACTGCCAACATCTACTTGCGACGCTCTGGTACAAAGGAATGCCCGGCTGGAGGCAAGGCAATATCGTATACAAGTCTATAATGACGCTATTAGTTTTTCTAACACTACCAGTACTAGCATTTATTTATATCTTTGCTCCACATAGTAGGGTATGTATGCATGTATTTATGTATGACTTTAATGGTAAAACATCTAATATTAATGTTATTGGGATAAACGTTACTTTCACTGAGTGCTTTTAACAATCCCCCCAATATATTATAGTACGGAGATTTCTGAGTTAATTTATTATTTAGAAAACAAGGAGTGAAACACAAGACCAATCCCTTCTCAATGTTTTACAGATGGAAAAATTCGTCAGTCAATTTTAAAATGTATAAATAGGAAAGTTATGAGCAATGTAAATTCAGTTCATTAATTGATATCCCTTTACATTGTTTTTCAGATTGGAAAATTCGTCCGGACTCCATTAGTGAAGTTTATTATGCATTCAGGAACGTACCTTATTTATCTGTCTCTACTCTTCTTTCAATCAAAGTACACAGAAACAATATTTAATAACGGTGACCATTCGACCGACGAAGATTTCTGTACTCGTGCAAAAAACTGTAGCGCCCTCGACGACTGGCTCAACATTTCCCCAAATTGTGGCAACAAATATAGGCTGTTACGCTTTACAAGGCCAAATGCTTTTGATATTATCATTATGATTTTTTTAGTAGGTTCGTACATGTTAACTTCACATTAATAATAATAATAATAATAAGATTGTATTGAATATTTTTTTTTCTCCTAATTTTGTTTTCTTTTACTACATTACGTTTTATGTTTATATTTATTTTATTTATGCATAGGCCTATGCCTTTGTATCGGCAGCATCCGAAAATGCGGTAGCTATACAATGCATAATACAAATATGTTATAATCAATGAAACAAATGAAAACTCATACTAATTGTTGTGACTGTGTTACTATATCTTTTTTAAGGTATGTTTTGGAACGAACTGAAACAGGTCTGGTTGGAAGGTAGTCGTATATATTTATCTTCTTTTTGGAATTGGCTTGATATAGCCATGTTGAACCTCTATTTTACAAGCTTCATCCTGAAATTTGTCTCCTATCATTCAGCGCAGAAAGCAATAGACTATTTCAATGGCCCCGACGCATGTGAAGGTCTGGAGTCAAACAGTAGTGTGGTTAATCGGCATATTTATTACCTGTCGTCTGGTGAGTAATGATTCAACCATGATTTAACGAACGTGATCGTCGAATTAAAGATAATATGAAGTTTTCATCGCCAATAAAGAGAGCATAAAACATACTACAGTATTCCGATGTTGCATGCACTCTTATATTTACTTGTAATCAAAATGATTTTCATAAAGCCTTTAAATCAACCAAAACTGAAATGTTTTGATCTGTGTTTTAATTGGTTGATCCATTTTAATTAATCTTTAGTGCTTTTTTTTCAAGATTTCTTCCCCCAGATAGTACTCCTAAACATTTATAATATTAATTATATATTTTCAGATCGTAAATGCTGGGATCCACAAGACCCCGTTTTTCTAGCTGAAGGACTTTATGCATTAGCAAACGTGATTAGTTTTACACGGGTTACGGAAGTTTTAGCGGCTAGTGAATTTCTAGGCCCACTTCAAATCTCACTAGGTCGCATGTTGGGTGATATTCTCCGCTTCGGCATCGTATTCGGACTTGTTCTTGTAGCCTTTCTTTGTGCTATGTATAATCTTTATTGGTATTATCCGATAAGTGGTATATCAGGTCGAGAAGTGGAAAATGCATTTGGATCGTAAGTACAAAATAACAATGGACCGATGGATGGATGCATAAATAAATGGAGGAACAAAACAATTAATTATTTATTATTTATAAATAATTTATATTAGATTAATTTATTTTATAATAACCATAATTATAATGATATATATAATAATTATAATGATCATGATAATTGTAATATTAATAGTAATAATAATAATAAATAAAAAATCAACTTTTAATACTGATATATTTTTTTTTTGTCTTACCAGAATTAGCAATACATTCTTAACACTATTCTGGGCGTTGTTTGGGTTGGTCGGTAAAGATAATCCTATAGTCCTATCGTCTGTGGATGATTCTTATTATACCATCACCAAAATAGTTGGTACCATACTTTTTGCGCTGTACCACGTGGTCATGGTCCTTGTTATGCTGAACATGCTTATTGCTATGATGTCAAACTCGTATCAAGAAATTGAGGTAAAATACGCAAATCAATCATGGGGCGGGTGGGATTTGCATGCATGTTATCAAAACTTCCCCATTGGGATTCGGACCAGTGTTGGTGTCAATTAGAGGGGAGGGGCCTGGGCTGAGCTTGTGTAATATTTACAAAGACTCTAAAACTTGATTAAACAAGAATTTAAACTCTCTTGTCGGGGCTGGTGGAGGAGCAGACCTCTCCGAGGGTTGCATGGGCATCCACTAACTCACGCTCCCCGACAGAGATCGTTCCAGCCCCTCTGATTCTGATGACCTTCCTACTACATTCTGGCCACCTTAGCAATTGAGCTGGTTATGTATGACTCTTTTCTGATGAAAATCATTTAATTTTTGTAAGAATTGCGTAACATTTAAATTAATTTCACGTGTTATTTGTAAACTAATAACGATTTCGTTACGTCACTTAGAATAAGTTGGGGGTGTATTTGTTTCTGTTAGCTAATGGAGATCCCCTACCCATGGTTTTCCTATCATCCAAGGATAAAATTCTTATAACATATTTGATTTATTAAATTATATTGTGTCTTGTAAACACGTGGATTTGATTAGATGTTAATTAAATTTTAAATTAAAGCAACTTTATTATAAATTTCGGTCATTTTTAATAATAATGCAGTAGACATTTTTGTAATGGAACAGGCAAGTAAAAAACCTATAGATGGAATGTATATACAATATATACATTATAGGTCTACGTACATGTACACAGAGACACATGCACATACAAAATACATAGAGATTATGCATTATCATTTCATTTGCTTTTTGTTGCTAGAATGACGAGGACGTGGAATGGAAGTTTGCTCGAGCCCAATTATGGATATCGTATTTTGACAACAGTGCTACTTTACCCATTCCATTTAATTTGATCCCCAGTCCCAAGTCCTGCCTCTACATATATAAATGGTTTAAAGGATTTTTCAAGGCAAAAGAACCAATACAGAACATACCAATGAGAACACGTGCGCGCTCATCTTTATCAGATAGGGTGAGTGCCTTAAATCTTACTCCCTTTCTATTTTTACACTCAAACAAATCACAGCATAATATATAAGAAATTTTAATTTAAAAAAAAGATAACATATTGAAAAAAAAATGTTTTAATAGCATTTATTTTTTTTTTCATTTATTCATTTATACAAATATATATAAAGAGATTGTTTAGTAATCTGAGTGGTTTGCACAACGCAAAAAATATCAAATGATCGTTTATACTTTTATATCCAACTCACACATTGTTTATATATTATGAATCTGAATCTGATAATTAACCAAGTCATATTCTATATAAATGTTGTTTTCATCCGATACATTGAAATACTAAAAACCATTTGCTGATTAGTTCATAATAATTCAATCAATTAATCATTTGATCAATCAATCAGTTAATTAACAGATCAAATAAATATATACATTTTGATATTATCCAATGAAGTAAAACTGTATTGCAGACCTATATTGGGAGGAAATAGGAGAATGAATGTTAACGTTACTACATAAGATATCAGCAACGACTATAGCTTATTCTTGATGAGTTAACACGACCTAGATTTCGTCTTTTATGATAGAATTTACAAACATGTGTATTCCAAACAATGTCGAATAAATTTTGACCATGTACTAAATTTTATGCTGCCTTTGATAGTGAAGCACGTGAGTGGAGCAGCTTTAAATCGCCGGGCTTCCAATTGAAGATTTTGGGTTTAAGTCTGGGGTAGATCACATTCATTGTCCCTCTACAAGGCCAACTCAGACAGCGTCGGCCGACGCAGCCCGACCCGATTTATCGTCGGGGACAGTCTTAAGCCGTCGTGAGAAATATTAAATACGTTTAATATTCTACTACGCGACTGCCCCGACGCACACACCCATCGCGTCTGCGTTCAACTCACACAGACCCGACGCGACAACAAATCAGGTCTGCCGACGCTGTCTGAGTTGGCCTTAAGGGTATACTGTAAGTATAGGTACTCGATAGTTTTGAATGCCCATGCGCAGATTACTAGATGCATTAGTCTCCAAAGGCACTGTGCATAACCTAAGTTATAATGTACATAATGCGAAACATTAATATTATTATAATCATTTTTATTATTATTATTATATTTAGAGAAACGGAGTGTTCCATGTCATGGGATCAGGATTTCGGCAGTCTGGGGAAGACAAAAATCAGGTGAAATACATTCATATTACCTCAGGCGCGGATCTAGTAGGCGGAACGTGCCGTTTCGCCACTAACTTTTAAAAGTCTAATGTATAGCAATTTTATATTGAAATAAGTGCTACTCACTTACCTATGGAGAATGTTGTAAGTTCAAGAGGGCATCTGAATCTGCGAATGAAATGAAATGAAATGAAATAAAAAATGCTATACCAATGCCATATCTCAGTGCTCTCCTGAATTTACTAGATTCTAAATTCTCGTTCTTGCTACATTTAACGTTTCTTCATTCATTATGAAGAGGTTAACCCATATACGGTATACCTCCAATTATAACAAAACCCCACCTAAGCCTCATCATCATACCGTATTTCTTTATTGTATTAATCAGTTAAATACAAAAGGCAACCAACGTATAGCTAGAGCTAATCATGTAATAACAATTATAATAGTAATAATAATAATAATGATAATAATAATAATAATTATTATTATTATTATTATTATTATAGGCCTAATGCCGTACTTATTTCCGTGAATAAGCCGAATTATACCATTCTCCATGATTATATAATTCTGACCAAAAATAGGCTATATATAGGCCTAGAGTATCTTTATTTTTTTCCGAAACTTTCAGTACAGTATCTTATTGTTAACAATAAATCATTAAATTACAAGCAAATTTACAACAGAATGAGATATAACTTATTTATCAGTGAATCTTTTAGAAAATCTTTTCCCGTTGAAATGTTTAGTTTAGCAATTCAATATATTTCTCCAAGTTTATTAGACTTAGACTTACGTGACTGTATGATATCTTTGATGCGATAAAAAAAAAACATGCTGGTACACAAGCTAACCATATCATAGAAAAGTTATTATTATTGCAAAAGGAATATCTTGCCTTTGTGTCCCTAGCGGCGAATACACAGGCAAAATAAATGTAGAGACAAGAAAAACCATCATCGGATGGAAATTGTCATTTATTATAATGACGAAAATAAAACATGTTTGGTTAAAGCACAGCTGGCCGTGATAATGCAATACAACAACTAAATACGGCCATTTACTGTCTTATAACCATTACAGATATTGCCGTGATATAAACATTGAGTACAAACATTTACAGAACAATGAAGGGCATGTGAATCCAGCCTACGTAGAACATGCATCAGAGCTAGAAAAACCCGATTACGTATGATCTGAGATTACTGTTAAGAAACTGAGTTTAGGTCAAAATGTAGAAATTGAGATTTTATGGTAACATTCAATCTGTCAATTTATGCGTGAAGCTATTGCTCGATGTAACCAATGCATAATCTTGTCAAAGCCCTTTCAGTTTTTTTTTTATTATGTATTTATTGACGTGGTGCTCCATAATTTTTTTCCTAGGTAAGCCCCTGGTGATCATGGAACGTTTTGGCTATAACAATTCTCACACTCTACAAACAAAACACACAATAGAAATAGCCATAATTCGATTACAAATTACATTCAGTCAAATCTTGTTTTGCAGAGTTCAGTCAACTTATTATTTTTTACACTAAATGACTGAATTTATTATAAAATAATTCTTAATCGAGCTGTGACATTCTCATATTATTGTAAACGCAGAGACTTCTTGCAAGCAAACTAAGTATGCCTTGTCATCAGATAAACTACTATGTCTTTTTGTGTGCATTGTGTAAGCAATTCCAAATTTGAATATTCGATTTACCCTTTCGTCAAGCCAGCAATTATACGATGTATTATTATTAATCATTGTCAAACAACGTAACGGTTAAAAATACTAGAAGTATGAGTATGTAGTTAGAAAATAACTGCTATATTAATTTCAAATAATATTATCAACATAAAAATTATGTAAAAATTATCTAAGATCTTAATCATTTGGTCCTTTTTTAGTAGGAGTGCAAAAGGAAGTGCATCCCTTACTTCCCCATCTGAAAATATGAAAAGGTGACCTAAATATGATAAATAACATTTGACGGCAAGTGATTAACCTACTCAGACTAACATACTGACATATTGTTTACATTTAAATTAGCTCTTTTTGGGTGGATTTGGCGTAATGTGTTATATAAATGTGATCATTTTAATATATCATCACCAATAGTAGTAGCTTTTGTAGTACTAAATATAAAATGCTAAAATAACGTATTTAATAAAAAGGTCAGAATTTAATCATAATTAGCATAAGGTAGCAAAATTAATGAATGCATCCAGGACTGCATGAGAAACCAATTTTTTGAACTAATAATTAGTCTAATATTTTTGTTGAGATAACCTGGGACAATAATGTTATATAATTGAATTGAATCAGTTGTTAGAAGGTCAATTAAAAGTTAAGAAGAGAAAATAATTATTTGCTTGTCAAATGTCACTGTCCTATTCCTTGAATAGATACTTAAATGGAACTCAACAGTGAATTTAAAAATTCGAAAATAATAAATTGTTTCGATCTGTGTCTAAATTAAAGTTCCTAGCATATTCGATCCTTTTAGATTAATGGTGGTGATTAGCTATTTAATGTTTTAATATAAATGTTGTGTTTACAGATTTAACACACACAGAATCTGACTTAAAAATCGACAGTATGTGCTGCTTGTTGCTGTTGCTGCTGTTGCTACTAATGTAGGCCCACTGTATCTTTTTGGATCTTAAAAATGATTATATTTTTAAACTCCATTTCAGTTTAGCTCCATTCAAAGATACATTTCTAGCACTAATGTCTTTATTTTCAAGTTTGAAACCTGTATAGTGTATTCTTCAAAATGGTGTCTCTTAATTCTTTTCAATTTAAAGTGTTTGTGCTTTTCACAACGAAGAAATCCAATCCAATGTATAGTGGTTGATGTCAGACTAATTTAATTTTAGAAATTTCAGAATAAACAATAGGTTGATATTGCATGTTACAACTTCCGATGTAGTAGAAGCAGTATATATAAGCAGCAACAGTAGTAGCATAGTAGTAGTACACACTAAATGCAAAAGAGATAATTTTAATAATTATCATCATCATCATCATTACCATCATCATCATCATTATCATCATTATCATCATTACCATCATCATCATCATCATTGTCATCATCATCATCATCATCATCATCATCATCATCATTATTATTATTATCATCATCAATATCATTATCATCATCATCATTATTATTAATATTATTATATTAATAATTATTATCTATTATTAGTATTGGTTTCAGTATTTGATTTATATACTTTTGAACTTTAGTATTAGTGTAGCAGTAGTAGGCCAAGTACTAGTAGTAGCCGTTGTATAACCGCTGTAGCAACCAAGCAGTAGCAAAAACAGCAGCCTAAGTCGTAGGCATCTTGTAGTTTAGTAGAAGCTGTATCAAAAGCAGTAATGGAATATGGTCATGTACTGATTCCTCTAATTTAAGAGAGGTTGCAGTAAAATTATATTATAATGTTAATATTGTAGTTAACAACTCACGACAACAGATTCACATAAATAAAATATAATTTTAATGTATAGGTGTGTATATACTGTATTGTATAATAATTGTTTACAATTTTAGAATATTTATTATGATTATTTATCTATTATTATTGATTATGAAGACTGCATGATTCTGTGCATGTTATTTTTATATGAACTTTATGCAAATTAGGTATGATATTTAATGAATATGATTGGTATTAAGCGTTTTGTTTGGAAAGTTTTAGAGAGGTCAAATAATACCGATGCATATAATAAAATATTACTGATGATTGAAATGTTTATGCTTTTTTGTTTTTTTCTGAATTTTATAAAACAAATATTGTTATACTGTACGCGCTTTCAGGCCTAAGATGGTGAAACTTTAGCTAAATTAAGTCGAAAATGTGATGTCACTAATATATGATTGATGTAATTAAAGTGGAAGTATATCTGTTGTATAATGAGTGCTGCTACAAGTTATAAATGAGTGTTGAGTTTCTGGAGGCTAATGCAACTCAGCAACATTACAGCCCCATACACGTTTTCCTGCTAGCTCAATTATTACAGTATACTATCATAATAAACATTTTGTTCATTTTACAAGAGCGATTTATCTAAATAACAAACATTCTTATTATTACCAGTATTTCTAAAAGCTCAGAGACATTCAGAAAAAGACCGTCTAATTAACTGTTAATAATAATAGTAATAATAATAGTGTAGTTTTATATAGCGCACAAATCCATCTAATGTAAGATGCTGAGGGCGCTTGAAATGTGGACTAGAAACTCGATCAATGACTCCCATATAGGGAGCTTTCGATTTGTGCGACGACGCAGTGGTGGCGCCAGGACCTGCCCGACGGAGGGGCTAAAGGCCCCAACGGGGGGGCTAGTGGAGCGAATCGAGTCTCACTTGGCTGGGGGCCAGGGGGGCCACCCAAGTCCCCCAGTGGGGGTCCAGGGGGCTTTTCCCCCTGGAAGCCACGGATATTTGATGAATTATGGATAATTTTTATTACTTATTTGATAGGCATCGAGTTACTATGACTTCATGTAGGCTATGCTTTCTAATGTTTAAATCAGCTTCCAAAACCAAAACCTTTTGAATAAAGCAAGAAACAAAGAGTATGCAATGTAACCATCTAATTTATTTTCAAATCCTCATTCTTGAAAGTGAAATTCTACGGTATAAAAAAAAATGTGTAAAGGTAACCAACCATGCATTGCATAGAATATCACGGCCATAGAAATTGTGCATTGTCTTATAACATTTAATGATCCATAACTGTAACATGATCGTGTGCGACGGATACTTACTTTTGGTTTATTGTATATAATTTATGTTTTAAATGGATTGATTGAGTCTGTAATGTTTAAATCAGCTTCCAAAACCAAAACCTTTTGAATAAAGCGAGAAACAAAGAGTATGCAATGTAACCATCTAATTTATTTTCAAATCCTCATTCTTGAAAGTGAAATTCTACGGTATATTTTGGAAATTTTGCATGAAATCTGTCAACCACGCTGTCATGGTCGAGGTTGCTTCACCTATCACGATGTATTCCAACCATCATAAGGCTATCTAAATGAGCATTTGTCATAACAGAACGCAAATTCTCATTGAATTATTATTATTATTATTATTATTATTATTATTATTATTATTATTAGTAGTAGTAGTAGTAGTAGTAGTAGTAGTAGTGGTAGTAGTATTGTTGTTATTGTTGTTGTTGTTGTGATGATGATGAAAAGTTAACACAAACAATATGAACGAATATTACATGTAAATATTGTTTTTATTTGTTTGTTCCCCGACAAAATTGATCGTCTTCCCCGACGGGGGTGGGGGGTAGTTATGCTTCCCCGACGGGGGGCTATAGCCCCCTCTGGCGCCACCACTGCGACGACGCGACGCTAGAACGGAATCACTCATGCGTGACCGTCCTACCTGGCGTCCTACGTCTCTGCGTACGTAGATTTGGCCAAATTGCGTTCCAGAATCTACTCGACGAGGTGACCTTAACCTTCTCGCATGCACAGATGGCTTTTAGTGACGTCATTACGTTCTACGTCCTACCGTCGTCGTGCAACAGAAAGCTCCCTAATAACCCAGCTCCGAGAGTTAGACTTCTGGGGATATTGCAGCGAGAGTACCGAATTAATCCCAACCACAAGTCTGCAATAAAGGGACCGAACGAAAACGTTGGCAAGAAAAATAGAAACATAGGCCTAATAATGTGAATGGAAAATGCTGTGTCTACCTTTCCATTTCGGCAGATGGAATAAAATAAAAAATGTGTAAAGGTAACCAACCATTGCATAAAATATCACGGCCATAGAAATTGTGCATTGTCTTATAACATTTAATGATCCATAACTGTAACATGATCGTGTGCGACGGATACTTACTTTTGGTTTATTGTATATAATTTATGTTTTAAATGGATTGATTGAGTCTGTAATAAAGTAAAAGAAATACAGTGAATCTTGCAAATTAAGTGTGGATAAATTGCACAGTTAATCCCCTGGCGAGAGGATCAATACTATGTTTACGTTTAATATAAGCATAGGGTGTAAGAATGGGCTCACAATGTTACTCCGTGAGACACCATATATATACCATTTATGGTTAAATGTCAAAGTTACATTATTTTAAATTGATGTTTTTAATTGTTATTTTGGCCTTCGACCAATGCAATCATCTTATGCATGCAGACAACAAATCCTGGTATGGTATTACGCATACTCGTAAAACTTAAAGACCAAATTGTTACAGTGAACACAACTGGTTTATCTAATCTACCATGGGGAAATTACAAGTTGTTAGTGTTCGTATGACAGTTAACGCTATCAGTAACGTGTTCATTTGTCTGCCCTAGTTTGCTTTCTGAAGAATTACCAGGTTGATCAAACTAATATTAAAGGAAAGTTTAAAAGCTGTGTTTTTGAGTTAATAGACATGCGCAACTAGGTTTATGATGACGAAGTGTGTATTTATTGAATAATGAGATCAAATCAGAGTCACTTCGAAGAGACAATGACGGCGATGTGTAACGCACTCAACTGTAAGTAATCAGTATTAACATTCATCACACTATAGACCAACTCTAGTTCCATCAGTACTTATTTGTTAACACGTTAAATCAAAACTATAACTTAACTTAATTGTCATAACTATAATTTGAAACAATAGTACCTACCGGTGTATAGATAGATATTGTAAAATATGCGTGTAGTTTGGATAATTGAAAGAGATTGTGCCAACAGTATCAATGATCTCTGATCAGAATATAGAGTGAATTCATCAAAGCGGTGACGATGTGAGCTTATAAAATATATAGTTTGTAGGTTTGCATAGCAAAGTAATAATATATATTAATGCTTGTGGTACACCACGTAGATCATAATTATAGTTACGATGTATAAATCATTATTTACAAACTCTCAATCTAAATATTCGTTATTCGTTGAGAATGCAATACAAAAAAGTCTCCGATTGATTGATTGATTGATTGATACATTTAAAAACTCATCTATTTCAATCCATCTAGTATTCATGTTCATATCTACATTGTCTTTTTACGTTTCAATTTATTACACCACTACTTTATTCAATCCATGCCCTATGTATACCTTCGCGCCTTTGATAATTTTTTTTGAAATTGGCGCATAACAAATGTTTGGTTATTATTATTATTATATTATTATTATTATTATTATTATTATTATTATTATTATTATTATTATTATATTATTATTATTATTATTATTATTATCATTAATATTTTTTATTATTATTATTATTACAGGGCAACATAAGTACTTGATGAAAATTCAAGTACTTCAGCTCATGAAATATTGTTATTATATAATGATATGCTACCATTAACCTTATTCCTGCTATTCTATTATCTTTTTCTCTCCTCCATCCTATTGTATCTCTTTCTCTTCCACACACTCTTCCATGCTATCTCTTCTCTTCTCTTAGTAAAATAGTGCTATACCAACAATGCCAGAATATAGGTCGATAAAAAGTTTGTCATCATTAAAAGTTAGATGTATCGGTAAATACTTTCATATTCAATGTAAGCTCATTTAATTTTGCATAAGTCTTCTTCTCATCGAGTTTATGTACAACATTCAATTTTACCCAGCCATAGCTGGACCAGGGAGGTATAAACACTTCTTTGCCTTGTGGTTGTCTCCACAGGTAAACAGTACGTGCAGTACATGAAGTAGAGCCTACGCACAACGAATTTGAACAACTGTGAAAAAGCAAACGTAGATATATTATTTTTTACATATTCTTCTGAAAAGTAAAATGTTTCAAAGAAAACTATAATTTTACAATTAGTAATAACATTTGGGTGTACCCCCTCCCCAATGGCGTGTCAATTGTTAAAAAATTCCACAGAACATGCATGCGTGCATCATGTCTCCCAATTTCACTGAGAGAACGTTCAAACATCATTACTTTTAAAATCTAAATTGAAAACATATACTGTTGATATCAGTGCGAATATTATTTATTATTATATATAGTTATTATTGACGAGACAAATGGCCGAGCGGTTAACAGGGGCGCCGCAAGCTACAGCCATAATATTGGCACGCTCGCCTATAATGGTTCTGTGGTAGAACAAGTCTTCTCGGATAAGGACTATAAACCGAGGCCCAGTGTATACAATGGCTCGTGTGCACTATAAATAACCCACAACCCAGTACAGACAGCCCCTGTGGTGGACGACGAGAGTTGCTGGTACCGGGTTACATTTCATTTCATTTCATTTATTTCTTCTCATACACACAAAATCACACAACAAAGAACAGGTTGACGGCAGTGCAGAGAAGTTATTTCAAAAAAGTGAACTCAATCACTGTTGTAGTTCTCACAGAACACTGTTTTAAACATGAAATTTTAAACAATAAAAAATTTTTTTGAAGAAATCAAATAAATAAATAAATATACAATTTAAAAAGCTAATAATCATATTTACATTTTTTAAATTTATTTATATATTTTTCATTTGTTAATATGTTTTTTAGTTATTTATTATTATTTATTTATATTTTTTCCTATATATTTATGGATTATTAAATTTGTGCGTACAATATTTGTCTCTGCTTGTTCAGTTTTTTTTTTCGTGTTTGTTTTTGTCATTTTGTACCTATTTTTTATCTAATTAATCAGACATTTTTCAGATGTGTTTTATATTTTTAATAGAGGGCCCCTGAACATCAGATGGCCTTCTCGGTCCATTAGGAAGGGTCACTCTCTATAAATAAAGTTTGAATAAATGAATATGTTGATTTTATTTAAGGTTCTCAATAATAAAAAAGTATGCTGGTTGAACCAATTGAAGAGTATATAAATAAGATATAGAAACGGCATTATGTTTTATACTTCTGTAACTAAATGTTCAATTGAAAGTTAATAACTTACATGAATTTACACAGGTAACAATTCAGATATTGAATTATACTCTTTATATACACATCGTAAGTTGAGTGAACTTACAAAGGCCATCACCTCAGCAAAAAACTCAGGATAATTAGCCAAATTATCATTGATATAATAAAGTTCTTCTGAATGTTTAATGCGACTAAACGTTAGGAGTGATGTTTTGCCCAACCGACGTGTTATCATACCGCGATCGCCGAAGGAATAATACCGTAATTTTTAATTCGTTTGCTATATTTCCTTTTTAGATTTTTATGCCCGTCTAAAATTATAGTGCTGCAGGACATAGTCACGATTGACATTAGCCGATAGCAGTTATTGACACGAATACTAAGCAATCGGTCTAGAACAATATTGGCCTATCAAAATAGTGGGTACTACAGAACCTATTATTAAGGTGAGCCTATGTTGTATTTTTATATTTCCAAAAACAGGATGCGTATAGTATAACGTTATTGTATCTGTAAACGTGACTAGAGAGATGTATGTCTAATAATATTATGTCGTTAAGTTTTAACTGGTGGTCACCACTAAGCACTAAGCACAGAAGCGCTTCTTAATATTATTATTATTATTATTATTATTATTATTATTATTATTATTATTATTATTATTATTATTATTATTATTATTATTATTATTATATTATTATTATTATTAGTATTATTATTATATTATTATTATTATTATTATTATTATTATTATCATCATCATCATCATCATCCTCATTATCATCGACTCACTTTTTTGAACAATTAATTATTATTTTATAGTTTACAGCTGCGGTAACACGTGACTGACCCTAAGTATGTTGCCTAGTTTAATCTCATCGATCGATCATCAATTACGTAAATTTACGACCAGAAGTGTTTATCTGGGGTAGCACTTGCCATCTGCCCAAGGCCCACAGCATAAATTCCTGTTGGAAAACATAAGCCTACATTTATAGATTGATGAGCACACGGGTGTACTAGGCCGTCTCGTGGTTAACTACTGGGTGACATTATTAATGATGACTTAAGAAATCAGAATCAAATATTATCGTCAATTAAAATTCTGCGTGTCTGACATTCTCACATACACAAAATTCGTTAGGTTATTTCTGTTTGATTTGGTTACACTAAAACGTATCTAATCAACGTTCAAATCATCAATATTAAGCCTAGCATAGGGGCATAATTGTTTAAAGGCGGATACACGTATACGATGTTCATGTAGCCTTTTAGGGTAAGCAAACTATAGGCCTAATATTCAATTTGTTAATTATCCTTAGTCCTAAGTAGGGCATTATTATATATAAGCGGTATGCTAGACTTAAAAATGTGGTAACAATATTTAAATGTCAGTTCTGCTTGGATACCACCTTATAATAACAGTCCTATCTGATCTAACAACGTAATGGTGACAACCAGGGATATTCAAATGTAAAATGGAATTTTAGATATCAGGTTAGGCATCTCCAATTGGAAAACATACGAAGTGAAGGTCCATACGAAGCATGGCCCACATTACCTTAAATTATTTTAAAATTATTTTGGGGTGTTTTTTTTTTATTTTTTTTTTAATAAAGTCATTGCCTTATCTAACCACTCGACATTTTATATACCGTATATTTTATATATTTCTATTATATAAGAAGCTAGTTTTACGTATATGTATGGTGATTTTTAAAATTTGGTTGATTGCACACTGTTAACTTCTGTTTTTCTGTTATTTTAATGGACAATAAAAGCTCTCTTGTATCTTGAATTTTGTATCTTGAATGAAGATTTTTAAATTTAAAAAAAAAACTAGTTTGCCAACTGGCTGAAGTACCGAAATATCCCATCGAATATTCCAAATTGTTTAGGGTAATAATAAAATCCAATATTGTAGAGAATTGCAATTTTTAAGTCCGATCCATTTAGTATAAGCAGAATTTACTGAGGCTCGGAAAAACAGAGAAGTAACCATAAATAATCTTATTTCCATACATTCTAGTGCGGACTTATAGACCAACATCATAAGGGACGGCCACAATAGTCTAACAGATTAAAACCTGTACACAAAGAATGATAATTTTATATAGCCTAAGTATATTTCTACACGCACACGAGGTCAGTTTCTCGTTAGAAAATCTATATTCGAAAGATCAGGCCATGAACTCGTAAAACGTAGCTTTTATTGACGTTAACATATTCTTCTGTATGGCGGAATAAGGTGTTGCTGGTCAGCATTAAAGTCATTGTTAAGCCTAAGTATAGGTTTATGAAAGCTCACGTTTTCATGTATGTCTTAATTTAGTTTTGTGATCGTCCCGTCCCCCCCCCCATTGAACAAACAGCGCACAAAAACAAACTCTAAAACAAACACTTTTAAATTTCTAATAACTTAATGTAACCCCTCCCCCACCCTCTTTTAAACATATGCAATGGTAATGTAATTTGCTGTGAATATCTGTTTTGATCTCATATTGGTATAAAAGTTATCATGGACCCATTAATGATTTGATTTAGTAAATTTACTTAAGTTTGAAAACCACTTTTTTTATATCTGAATTTTATGTTTTCTGTCTATAGGGCCTATGACTACGTGACTATAAAGCATTATAATGAATATAGGCCTACGTAGACGTGTTTTGATATACTTTTTATAACTAATGGCTTAGCTTCGAATCAAATTAATTAAGCAGGTAAATGCTAACAAAACAGGCAGTGTTATGGTAGATTTAGTACAGACATAAATACTGGTAAAGATTTGTAGATATAAAAAGATAGACATGAAGGCAGGCCGACTGAAGCTCACCTTTCTAATACCTTCATGCATTTTGCGTGAGTGAGCTCTGCGAGAGCTACTTTTCTACCACCATCTTCATGTATTTAGCTACGTTCGTGAGTTCTGCGATGGAAGTTACGATACATTTCTACAGGCGAATTCCTGCTCAAAATAATAGAACAGATGCTTTTGAAAATTACAAATATTACCAAACATGTGCTATCTCTCATCAGCTTGTTAACAGAACGCATAACTAAGTAATTTTAATGAGTATGAGGATATGAACCAACGAATTTGAAATTAAAAGGCATAGTAACCAAGCTACTCACTCTACAGGGATATTTCTGCTTATGCCTCCCATTATTTTCGTATACTGACTTCATCCTACCCTGCTCGTGTCTGCATACACCACGCTCACACCGATGTTAATTTAATTATTGATCAAACAAGTATCCACATCATCAGTTACGTAATTTCTGTCAATATGTAGTAAAGATTTACTGCCACGTAAATCTAATAACTTTGAAAATACGAAATGTTATAAAAATAAAAATCACAATAATAACAATGATAATGATAATATTAATAATGATAATTATTATTACAATAGTTATATATATATAATACAATAGTATATATATATATATTTATACACATCT